TATATATATATATATATATATATATATATATATATATATATATATGAATTACCTATATGAATCTGGTGTTGCTAGAAACTATATTGCTATCCAGCAAACACAACGTTACATGTTAGTACTAACATATATTAGTTATAATAACATACGTTAATTATAATTTCCTACTCAACTATATAACTGTTATATAACACATATGTTATATAACAGTTACATTGTTGAGTAGAAAATTATAACTAACATATATGTTACATATAAAGGGACGTCTACATTGGAAGTAAGCAGTAAGAAGTAGGAAGTAAGAATAAGAAATTGACCAATCATAGTTGATTATTCTTCTCACATTCGACTGTGGTTGGTCAATTTCTTACTCTTACTTCCTACTTCTTGCTATTTACTTCCAATGTAGGGGTGTATATCAGTTGGACACGGGGCAATTGAACACAGTCCAATCACAAGTCGCTGTTCTAAGGGATCCTATAAATGTCTCTAATCACACGGTGCTGTGATTGGCTGTGTCCAAATGCACCGTGTTCAAGCGCACCGTTCCCCCAATGTAGACGTCCCTTTAACGTTGTGGGTATTTACAACAATTAGAATTAGAGTTAGTTCCACTAGAGCCGAAAATTATGATAAGCACGATCATCTAGTACTTTTGTAGTTTATGACAACTTCTTCTAACTCAATGCATTATCATAGAAATAAGCTGGAGTAAGAAGTAAAGAACGCGTATTCGATATCAGGTAATAATTTCGTAAAATCTCACGATTATATCTATATTTTTTTAGCGTGTGGTAACAATTGTTTGTATTTTATTGTATTTTATTTTTTATTGTATGTATATATTTGTAGATTTTTGCGAAATTCAGTCAAAATCTACAAATATATATATATATACAGTCAAAATCTACAAATGCATACAATAAAAAATAATAAAATACAAACAATGTTACCACACGCTAAAAAAATATGGATATAATCGTGAGATTTTACGAAATTATTATCTGATGTCGAATGCGCGTTCTTTACTTCTTACTCCAGCTTGTTCCTATGGTAAGGCATTGAGTTATGGCTTCTGCACACAGGACGCGGTAATGCTTGCCGCGCGGCGGAAGTCCGCGCGACAGCCAATCAATATGTTGTTTTTCCGTAAGAGCTAGAAGGTTATTACGGAAAGTAGCATATTGATTGGCTGTCGCGCAAATTTCCGCCGCGCGGCAAGCATTACCGCGTTCTGTGTGCAGGAGCCATTAGAAGTTGTCATAAGCTACAAAAGTACTAGATAGTCATGCCTATCATAATTTTCGGCCCTAGTGAAACTAACTCTAATTGTCGTAAACATCCTGTGTTTGCTGGGTATCAACAATTGACCTTCTGCAGCAATACTTTTCCGACCAAATCTTTCAAATTTTTTTTTATTCCGGTTGAATTAAATTTAATAACAAATAAAAAGTACGCTGTACGCGACATCCTGTAATTAAAAAATAATTTTGCCATTGTTTTAAAAAAAAATATTCTCTCTTTCACTATTATAAGTTTGCAGCAGTATAAAAAATATAAAAGCATTACAATATTCTAAGCTTAAATAGCAAACAAAATATAATATTGCCTAGGTATAGCTTCCGGAATGGAGCCCTTAGCATATCGCTGATTCAAGACACGGCTTCATTCCGGAAGCTATACCTAGACATTGTATCAATGGCCGTGAAAGCCTCAAATCTAAAATATAATATTAATATTTACATTACCTAAAGTGACTTTTAAATTCAGTATTAGAATATTCATGAATAGTAACTAAATAATTTTTTATACGCGGTCGTATAATTTGTGCAGCAGGATATATTAATTTTAATAATTCATCTTTGTTGGAACTATCATCACTGTCATCACTATCTTTCACATACTGCTTCTATGATTGTGAAGCAAATAGACATTTTCGCATTTTTATTCATTTTTATATTATATTGTTTAAATCACAGCGGGATATCGTGGATACAAACAGAGGTTAGCTGCTGTTTGCAGTGCAAGTTGTTCCGAAATACGACGTCACAATTGTGCTGGCAGCATTAAATCAATTTCGGAATAGCTGTGGCAGTATACTGTCATGAAGTCATTTAGACAGCACTGCCAGTAAAAACGGAACACGGCCATAATATACATGAACTCCAAATGTCCTATGTTCTGTCGTGTAATAGAGTGAAGCCAACATCTAGAAAGAGAGCTAGAATAGAGGAGTTATAGTTTTTCTTCCTATTTTGCGACTTTTTTATTGCGCGTGCATCCATTTCTCGTTTCTATAATATTATAAAGCGTAACAGCACCCCGACTAAACTGGCAAGTAAAATTTTTACTTACATTTTATTGCACACTTTAGGTGCGGTCCGCTACAAATGCAACCGCTACAAATGCTGCGCAGCGTTTCTCTCTCTTGTTCTATTCCTCGGATTCGAATGAAGAAAGAGAAAGAAGTAAAAACGCTACAAAGCATTTGCAGCGCCCGCTGGATCGTACCCTAAAGCTGGTGGCACATAGAAAAACTTAAGCAGTAAAACGTAAGCAGTAGGCAAATTGACCAATCACAGTCATTGATTCTTCTTATGGTTTAAGAATCAACGACTATGATTGGTCAATTTGCTTACTGCTTATGTCTTACTGCTTCAGATTTTCTGTGTGCTACGGCCCTAAACGTAGTGAAAATATGTGGCAGCAGTAGCCATTTTCTCGCATGCACCGGAAATTCTATCGGATACAAACTGTTACATGATAGCCTTTTAGATAGCCTATTAACAATCTAGGTTGCATTCTAAAACGCTTTTTTTTGAGGAAAATTTTACTCAATACCTATAATTCACGTTACATATACTATAAAGTATCGAGTAAAATTTCCTCAAAAAGGACGTTTTGGAACGCAACCCTAGTTTAGTATAGACATCTATGCCTGTAATAAGAGATCGGACACCATATATCAACGTTTTGATTGGCTGCGCTATGTTTGGGTCCCTGTTTCCGGTTAAGATCATTAGCTGAATGACAACACAAGCAGTGGTCTGTTCTTTTAAGCTGCACTGGCTGCACTGCTGAACTGGTGCAATAAATTAAAGTGAAATAAGTATACTTCCGCTTTGGACCCACACATGGCGAATCTAGTATCTACAGGCGACGGTGTCCGATCTCTTATTAAAGGATCTGACACTGAAATTTGATACGTTTTTAGCAATCGGTCTAAAAGATCATAGCGCGCCTATTAACGTTAGTCTTTTATCTCTGCCGCGTCAGCGTCGCTCAATGTGCTGCCAAACGTTTATTGTTTATTCTTTCCGACATAGTAGTTGGACGGACGGTTCTCTTTTTTTTTGAATCAATAAAATTTTCAGCAACATACGTAATTGGAGTATATATTCTTGATTCAATAGCGATATTATTAAAATTAATACTTCAGTTATTGAAACAATACATGATGTAATAATTTTAATATTGCCATTAAATCAAGGAGATTTATCCTCTATTTCTAAATTTATCAAATAGATTTTTAAGTTTATTAAATCAATGTTTAAGTTAATCAAAGTAAAACGAGAGAAGCAAGAAATTCTTATTTTATTTTATTAAACTAAAAGAATGTCATTTTTTACTAATGCAGTTAAAATAAAAATATTATGATTTTATTTTTAATATATTCACATATGTATAATAAATTTAATATGTTTCCTAAACATATTAGATATAGAAATGATAAAGAGAAAAAAAGATGGGAAAAAGAAGAAATAGTGACACAATAAAATTATTTCCTTCAATTATTATGTTTCTTTTAATAATTGTATTGGTAATTTATTATTACTTAATTATTACACACACATATATATATATATATATATATATATATATGCTTAAATATATTTCGGTCGAAATGACCGATACACGCCCACTAATGTTGGTCCCGTTAATGCGCCCACTCCCGGGTTATAGATGTCTTAAAGATGTTTTAAAGACGTCTTATGATCTGATTTTGGACATTGTGCTGTCTGGGTACTTACGGAGCCAGCTTTGTATAATGAAGTCCCCGCGAATCGCGCACCTCCATCAGAGAATCGTCTCTGATCAGCTCATCTTTCTTTTTCAGGGACGCATAAGGCGCCATAGCCAAAATAGCCGCGGTTTCCAAACGCTTTTCCAGGAGTAAGCTGGTCAGACGTGCGGCCATGATATGTATTCTGGGGTTAAGTGAAATCAATTGCGAAGCAGAGTTTCGCGGTGTAATCAATTGGCGTACAGCAAAGTGGCGGGACGAAGCCGAATGAAAGCTTTCTCATCTCAACAGAACTCGGAGGCTCATCTAAACAAAGGCGAGTACAAAGTGTTAAAATTAAATCTAGCCAGAGGCCGTGTCGGCGACTACGTTTTGCCGACGACGACGACGACGGCGGCGGCGGCGGCGGCGGCGGTAGCAGCATCGCGTCCTCTGGCTTAGTCTCAAGAACACACTTCGGCTGTGTGCACGGATGCTCTCCGATCGCTGATTGAGCGCGGCATCCCCCGCCGCTATTCTTTCTCTCTATCTACCTGTCACTTTCCTTTCTCGGCTTGATCGCGGGGTTGTCGGGACACCCTTTTTCCGTCGCGAAACACACGTCGGCCGCGCCGACGTCCCATTAATCGCGCGCCGGGAATCTTTTGCATAAACGCTGGACTCGCGCGAACCGAAAACACCTGACTTACCTTCGTCTGAGGTCTTCCTCGAGGTAATAGCTCTTCGGCATGTTAGTAGCCGCGTTTATGATCGTTTCGCGACCGCGATCTAAGGATTACCGTTCGCGACCTTGCGCTTTTCATTATTCTGTTCGTGTTCCACGATGCCATTAAATTCCACGATGCTGATCGTGGATCGTGCATCCTTGTGTTTTGTTCGTTACTTAACACCCATTGTCTCCTATCGAGATCATCAACCTGTATCGCACTGACGCTTAAGCATGGGGATGATGCAGACTTCTCGGTTGTTTAACGTATTGAGGAGTAAGGATTAAATTGTGCTGTAAACACCGTTATCACACGTTCATTGTTCGTTCAAGAAGTGATAAGATAAAAGTACTAATGTCCGCACGTATACCTAATCCCTAATCCTAGACATTCTTATGTGTTTTGGCCTCTAAATACGTATATTCTCCAAACTTTCACATAAAGTATATTCAGATATATTAAATATATACATATATTCTATATTGAGAGTTTAAATATTAGTGTTTGTAAAAAACAAAATAATAAGAATATCCAGGATTAGGTACGCAGAAAAAAGAGCATTTTTGTTTTGAAAATATCTTTATTTTTTACATATAAATCTTAAAATAAGATTACATAGCATTTAACGAAGATCATTCACATCAAAACATTTTACATGTAATTCAACTAAAAAATATATATTTTTATTATTTAAAAACAATATTCATGAATCAGTGGCGTAGCCAGGGGAGAGGGGCTAAGGGGGCTGCAGCTTCTTCCGAAATTAATTTTCTGGGTTACGCTAAGTGTAAGAAAAATTTTTTCGAATGACCTTTTTTTTGCTCGTCAAAAATAAAAAGTGCAGCCTCCCCCGAAACTTTTTTCTGGCTACACCACTGTCTTGAATGGAAAGCAAAACTATCAAACTGGAAATATGTTTTCAAATGTCGGAAATAGATATTATTATTATCAAAATAATCATATCATGTATTTGTTATAATACTGTTATAACATTGAAATAGAATTATAACAATGCAAAATTTCAAAATTCTAACGAAATTATATATCGTCGCTTATATGTAAAATAATGATTTTTAATTTGAGTATATTAGTTTTAAGTGAATAATAATTGTTCTTCTGTGTCCGAAAATTGGTGCTTTTACTTTACTTAATACATAATCACTGAAGAATACGTTTATTACTGTTAATTTTCCGGCGTTTTCTCGGTCGGATTTATAAAATCTTCAGCACATTGCATCTCGATTATCGCGACCTCGTTTACGCATGTTCAGTTTATCCAGTTAGGTGATGTATGATGTGACGTTTTTATACGCTTTGTTTTAGATTCTTAGGCGCACGTAAGTCCATGTGGACGATGGTGATGCTTTAATGATGATCCACAAAATCGATTCGCGTCCTCTTCGTCTGGGCTTTTTCGTTGCCTGGTTTCTCGTGTCTGAATGATCGTAAGATGATTAGTGCACGCGAGTGCGAGGAGGAGTGTGTCATCGGATTACTAGCCTTGATCATCGGCCAAATACTTGACGAGGAAAGCGTACCGTGGTCATGCTACTCGTGCTAATTTTACGTACACAATATGATACGACGCAGAAAACTATGAAAATTGACAGTAACAGCAGCAACTCGTGACAATGTGATTATCGGCTTGTACATTGTTCCTCTCTTCGTTCTTTTATATATATATATATATATATATATATATATATATTTTTTTTTTATAAACACGTGATTTATCTCGTTGTGTATTACATATTCTGTTTTGTCTTATGTCGGATAATATTCGAAAAGAGCGAGAGTGAGAACGAGAGATAGAAGGAATATGTGACTTTGTGACGCGTGACCTTTGCTTCTAATTGCAAACTCGCGTTTTTGGGACAGATGAACCGAGAGGACGAGGACTTTGGCGAGGGCTACATCGCGGAGTCGCACCCGCTGAGGCCGACGCATCTGTCGGTGCCGCTCGGTGGACGTTCGGATTCACGCGCGCCCAGCATCAGCAGCAGCGTCAGCGACCTCGATGTTCCGATATACACCAGAGAGACGACCATACCGCTGTCGGCGCGGAAGGTGAGTCTTTGTCACGATACGTTCATTGAATGAAGAAACAAGAACGAGCGAGCGAAGTTCGCTCTTTTTCGCGCGAGGACAAATCTTCGCGTATCTCTCGCGTAATTAAACGTGAGCCAAACGATTCACATGAGAGAAAGAGATGGTCGTTGCCGCTGAGAACGATATTGATATACGCTTATTAACGTCCAGAGACGCGCCAGATGCATTTCGCGCAGAGTGCGCCATATCACGAATGGGAATATCTATATTGAAAAACGTACGATAGAAACACTCTATTTTTAGGGCGGTGTTGAAATCGCGGTTATTCGAGGCGACACACGCGCTCGCGTTTCGCGGACTATGTAAATGCCGTTATACGCAGGACCCGCGTTTAATTTCAGTTACGAGATGGTGTCTCGTATCCGAGACATATGTAACGCGTCGCGGTAAAATACAAATAGCAGTGCACGGTCGCGTTTAAAGAGCGCGATCACATCAACGATGCACCCCGTTGCATTTTGAAACGATATTTCGCTCAAGGCATGTCTCTCGCGTGTCATTATATGTAAATATTCCAAGCCTGTTCACATTATGCACACTATAAAAATCGGTTTCCGACCGGTTTCTGTCACAATCGGAAAATTATTCTTACGTAACACGCAGGTCTCCGCGACGGGATGGAAAATGTTGAATACGATGACGCGATGTCCACTCACCTATAGACCCGTTCGAAACGAGGAAAGTGTTTGGCGGGATACACACTAGACCCTGTGGTTCGCCTGTTGGCTACTCGCCGTTGTGGAAACGCCGAATATTGTCAACTGTTTTAATGGACGCGCAAACGCCCGTGCTCTTGTGTGATACCGCGTTCGGGAATTTTCCCGGAGCGTAGGCCGACGTCTGGGATAATTATCGTGGGGAAGAATTCCGTATGTCACAAAAAACAAGTTTTCTTCCCGCGCTTTTCTCTTTCCTCGCCTTTCTTCGCACGATGAGACGAAGCTTGCACCTGAAAATTTATTTGTGGGATACAAAGTATATTTCTGTGAAATAAAGTTTATTTCTGCGAAGCGTAAACTTCTATTTCACAAATAAATTTTTAAACATTTCCTTTTTCTCGATAATATATGATCTGTATGAAGCCAATCGTCTGCGAGTTTGTTTACTTTCCATCATTATCTTTGTGTCGCTTCGAATTGTCGCGCACTTCTCGTCCGATCAAGATTTAGGCGTCACTCGAGAGTTACGCAATCGCGATGAATTTATCCAGTGATATGTTTACACTTCACTTTCTCGGTTTTTTAATAAGATACTGGTGAAAAACGCGCCTATGCACCGTGGTTGTGTCAATGTTTTTATTATGCATTCAGCATTATTTAGTGCAACGATCGTTTTACGTCACGGCTGATCCGATCGTCGCAACCGCAAGCAATAGTTTCGCCAATATCCGTGTCGTTGCAAGCAGCGGCGTAACTAATATTCAATAAACTCTTTTAATCTCACATCTTTCAACAATGTTCTAAATTTTGATCATTTATCGTCTCCCCAATCTTGTCCTAAGTTCAATTTTATATAAAGTATACACTAACAGGAAAAATATCTGAAAAATAAAAAAATATTCAGTGGTTACTAGTAATATGTTTACTTAAAAATCTAAATTCTTTTGCTTAAATAGAATTAAACAATTGCTTCCATAAAAATGAACAGTATTATTTAAGGAAAATATATATTTTCTTATTTGAAAAAAATATTTCTTCGGTATAAAATATATATATATATATATATATATATATATATATATATATATATATATATAAAGGTAAATACATTATCTACCGAATAAATATTTCTTATTTTTTAAATATTTTTTCCTTTCAACAAGAAAATACTTGAAAAATTATTTGTGGGATTGTTTTGTTCATAATTCAAACTTTATTTTACAGAAATATTTATATCTTAGAAATAAATTTTTAAATATTTTTTTTTCAGTGAATATAAGGAACGCATAAAACGAAATACGATTGTAGACGACATCGGGCATGCGTATGAAAAATTCACTTGTCTTCCTTTTTTATTTCTTTTCACTTCTCTTATCGTCTTATTCTTCTCATCCATTCGCTTTCCCTCCCTTTTCATTCTACCTTACATCCTTTGCTCGTCTCATTTTTCTGAATACCTTAATACCTACATCTCTCTTGCGATGTTCTACTCCTTCTTCTCCTTCTCATTCCTTTCTTCCAGCTCCTGCTTCTTTCTTATATTAAAACACTGTCATATGAAACAGTCAGTTACGCCATTGGGTGCAACGAGACATAATAGATGAAGTTTGCCCGCGCGTGACGCAATACTCAGAACGCGTTGTACGCTCGTAATGCGCGTGTCCGCGCACATTTGACCTGAATGGAATTCTAAACATTTGATTAATATGCTTTCTTTTTTAAGCACCACGTACCGCTTAAAAAAGAATATAATCATTGTGTAATACCAATCCTAATGAATTATTTCGATTCTGATAAATTAACTCGTAACTTTTGCACTGCAAGATTAAATTTCCTCCGATTTAATTCGACTTATGAGTCATTCTTTTTCATGTAAAGCTGTGTCGTTTATTGTACATGGCGGTGAAATATTTCCCTGATTTTCATCTATGTGTGAAAGAGTACGGCGAAATACCTATAGGCTATTTTCGTGAATTATTCTATTTTACATAGAACGCACCAAAGAACCGCGATTTACGAACCACTTTTTTCACGTTAGATTGTGTTTTCTTCCTTTTTTCTGTTAAAATATGCGGCCTACTTTATTCACAAAAAAGTTTTGAATTCAGATTGGTCTTTTATATCTATTTTATAGTTTTTGGTATTGCATTACGAATATGCAAGTCCGAAGGTGGGCCGACGTACCCATTTCAGAGAAAATGGCTCATTTAAAATTGCACTTAGCACCATTTATTTTTACAATAAAAAGTAAAACTAGATAGCAAATTGCAATGACGAAATCATCTTCAGTGAATCACAGCGACAGTTTCAGGTGTCGTCCCTAGAAAAAGGATGACTGAGTTGAATTTCAAAAGCGTCCGACAGATTCCAATAGATTCTCAAACAGTTGGCACGGCCAAACTGAATTAATTGGTTCGTTTGATTACATTTTGAAACCACCAGTAAAGTCAAACGCTGTCGAGAAATAAATTGTATGGCAAATCAACATTTTTATTTTATGAAAATAAGTGACGCTATCTGGTGGGGTGTAATTTTGAATGGGTCATTTTCTCTGGAACGTCAGTTCCACCTTCGAACATTTCATATTCGTAATCGCTAAAAACTACAAAATAATTTGGGTTCTAATTTGGGTAACTAATTTGGGTCCAAAACTTTTCACAGAATAAGGTAGGCCGCACATACTTTAACACAAAAAAAGAAAGAAAACTATTTAACGTGAAGAGAATATAATCTGTAAATCGCGGTTTTTTAGTACGTTCTATGTTAAATAGAATAATTCACTTAAGAATCTTGTTTGAAGCAAGTTAGACGCACTCATCGAATTATTCTTCGTTTTTTATTTCCAAACGTACTCAGTGAACTTTATTTTACCTGTTCAAACTTACCTTTAATTCCCAATTAAGACGATAAATTTCCCTCTCCTCACATTCTTATATCAACTAACTATTGATTGACGTATTAATTGGCTCCATTTTATGTTGTAGAAAATACTACCTCAGCCAAGAGTCAAATCTGAGAAAAAGAAAAAAATTTAAACTAATTGCGTGCAATATCATGCAGCATTATTCGCGTGTGATTTAATATGACATTTTCAACAGGTGGATTTTCACTTTCGATCGTGCGTCTACGGTGACGTAAATCCACGACGGTATCGACCGAGACAGGGGTTCGCATCGCTCGCGGGTTGCGTGCACATTTCTCGTCCGTAAACCTACCAATGAGTTCCGTTTAAGTAACGAGTGAGTTGTCAATTCAATCCGGGTAAATAATCGACTTTGCGATTCTCTCAAGAGTCTGGGACTTAACACGATTTATTTTTGCACGTGACCGAGATGTTTAAAAGTCTGCCTGTGAGTGGAACAATCAGAGCGTCAGAATCTCTTGGCAGAAAAAGAACAGTAAATTCTAATTCCCATTGCACTTTTTACGCTAAGTAGTTCTACAATGGGTTCACCTTTACTGGGACTCGTAACGACGACGAAGGAGAACACTCGGTCGCGCTGTGGCGCATGATTGGTCGATTGGGTGGGTATGCCTGGAGGCACGTCACGTTGTCGTTACCGCGAGAGAGGAGATATGTTTCTCTTTATCTAACGAAAGTTACGGCGAGAATTACGACGCCTCGTGCAACATCATCGGGCTATTTATTCCGCTAAAAATAGAAAATTACTACGTAAGTCTGCGAGCGACGTGACATCGCGCGCGAATGAAGGCGAAACTCGATTGGCTATTTACGTAGGAGTGCCCGCAGAATAGTCGTCCGCCGTATTTTCCTTCACATTGTCGCGTTTCTGACGAAACTGGCGCCATGATTTTGCGACAAAAGCAAGATGCGATTTTCTTGTTTGGCGTTTACATGACCCTAATTTTGAAACGCATAAATTATATCGCTGACGTTCCCACTCTCGTATTTGTGCATAGCAAAAAGACTTTAGTTTATGTAACCGAATAGAGACTAGACGATAATTCATGACCCAGAAATGATATCTCCGATATCCTGACCGGAAACATATCTTTGGACATTCGGCGTTAAAACTCGATTAAGACAACGGACGACGACAACTGAAATCTCTCTATTTCTACAATGAAGTTTTCATCTGTATATGTGGTTCTCAGATAAGAGAAAATTAGTTACACGAGCCAAGTATTTTTTGTTTCTGCGAAATCATGTGGAAATCTGTCACCCGATAGATTTCGAATCTTTAATTTCTATTTCTGATGTTTTTTGTTTTTTATAAATTAAACTTAAGGGGGGAAAGCACTATAGAACGCTAAAAATAAGAGAATTTTCGTGAATTTTTTTGAAGAATTTACTTATCTAATCGCTTCCCAACTTTGTAGTGTTTTTGCTTATACATTAAAATATTAAAAAAATATTTTTAAGTTATCCGTTAAGAAAAATGTTTATAAATTGTATATAGCCAAAGAAATGTTGAGCGTCGCGACAGAGTCGGCGCAAAACGGTGTGCACTTTGGCTTTTATCGTATTCGTCTGAAACAAAAATAGGGAAAAATTTGTTACTCTTTATAGACATAATTTGATGATAGTCGATGAACCTAAAAAAGTTTAAAAAAAATTTGTAATTGACATAAAAGCAGCCCTTGAAACAAAACTTCGATTTTTGTTACTCATAAAAATTCATCTTTATGTATGCAAAAACATTGTTTAAATAAATAATTTTATGGATTTTATAGATTCATCGAATAGTAAATATAATAAACTAAATGTATGTAAAAGTGTAACTCGATTAGTCAAATAGTTTTTGAATTATCATGCACACCAGTTTGAAAAAAGTCGCTTCGAGAAAAACGCGTTTAAAGTTTCAGGTATAGAAAATTGTAAACTTATAGCTGTTTTCTGCTAATTCGTTATTCCACATACAGTAAACTTTTCGCTTCTTCAAAAAAGTCATTTTGCTCAAGTTGGTGTTGTTTACTTTACTATTACTGTTGCTATTCTAGCCCCTTTACTGCAACTCTAGGCGCTCCTGTTTCTTTATTCGCTCGGCGTCCTTACTATCAGCATATAATTTACGTAGATGCTCAATTTTAATTTGTAACATTTCCATTATCTTCAAAACAGCAAAGTAGTCTTCACTAAATATCCCAGCGGCAATATAAGCTGTGATTTCGATGATTTTAAGGCTAGAATGTACATACTTTTGAGCTAACCACTAAATCGTACTATTAAAACTCATTCGTATTTTCTGTATGTCCACCTAAGCACCTTTCTGATAGATCTTTCTTAGAAAGGTTTTTTCCGTTTTTTCAAACGGGTTTTTCGGAATGGAGCCATTGCGAGTCACTGTGCGCTCAGACCTCGTCTCAGCGCTCACACACTCGTACCAGCGCGCGAGAAATGGTCGTGTACGACCATTTAGATTTTGAATTTCACCAAGCAAACTTTGGTAATATATTATATACATATAGTACTATTAATTAAAGCAAAAAAAAAAAAAGAAATTCGATTTTTGTGATCCTTTATAGTACTTTCCCCCCTTAATGAAGTATTAACCCTTAAATAGAGGGCTCGATGGCAAAGGCAAGCTCACAGACAAAGTAATCAATGAATTGTGTAATTATTACGGCAAAGTTATTTGTAAAAATACGAACTCTGTAGACAACATGCGAAAAACTATTTGGGTCATTCTTAACCATAGAAGTTCATCTCTATTCTTCATTTAGCTGAACTAATTAAATCAAATAACTTGATCATAATTATTGAATAATTCGATTATTACCAAAGTATTTGATTATTCCATATACTGATTACATAATGTAATATTATTAAATAATATGGTTTTATTTAACAAATTGTTTGATGATATGCACCACACAGTAAATTGATAACAGTTAAAAAATCTTAGCAATAGATATCAAGTCTTGGTAAAGTTATTTGTTAATATTTGTCAAATTATATTTTTTACATTCACTTACATGTTTTGTTGAAACTTTTATTTCATGAAAATATCTAGTAACTATTATACAGATTTTATAGTTACTACCACCCCTTTTTTTTAATGTAAACATCTCACGATCAATTGTACCGCGCTCACGATGGATAAGGGGAAAGATGGAAACGTGTCGAAAGATGGTCGTTGTCAAGAGAGTATGTACTTTATTCGATTCTCTTTCGGAGATACAAGCACTTGATCTTGACATTTATTTGGACCGTACGAGTCTCCGCGACTGCGTACCGCTTGGGTTTGTTTTTCGGAACAACTCGCGCGCGACGCGTGTCAATAGCTAGCTCGGAACGCGAATTGCATTCTTTTTCCCCTCGAAGCGCTTACACCGGACCCGAGCCATCCAGGAGCCGAGATGATGAACGTTCGGTTACATTTTCGTACAATCGCACCTGGCGACTCGCCAGTCCTCGCGACTGTTTCGCAGACGTGTGACGTCACCGGCTGGCGCGACGTGTCTCTTCGCACACGGGTCGAGAGACCCGTCGCACACGTGTGCATGCTACGCGTTCACCTTGCTCTCCTTCCTGTCCTTTCCTTTTTGCGAGCGAGTGCCAAAAGGGGGCCGTTTAAACGGTTACAGAATGGACGGAAAGAAAGCGTATTCAGTAACATCGCGTGGAACGCGTGTAGTCTCTCGTCTAGTCTTAAAGCCTTATCATTTAGTCCCAAAAATCGTGCAGACCATTGGTGAATATCAGGCGAATACCCTGAATTGGTGAATACCCTGTATATCAGGCGATAAATTTCATTGTAGTTATCCGGATTATCATCGAGTTATCGGTGATTATCGTCGAGAACTACATTTCCCGTTGCTCTCCTGAACGGTCTACATCATGACAATAGAAAAATATTCTATCTTGTACTTTCCTAAAATTTAATTCTAGAATCTGTTTATCTGCAACTGTTAATTGCTGGAAAATTATAAGTCCCTGTGCGAAAATTGAGGAAAAACTAATACTAATAATATTACTCGATATTATCGCTATTGCCGTGAATGCGAACAATAAACGCGACAAAAGTTTAATTGGACGAACCAATATTCTCCAGAAATTTCATCCGGAATGTCTAAATCGCCCATATTTTATCAGAAATTCATTAATCCAAATAAACTTTTTTCCATGTATACTAAAAGAAAAATGTTAAACACGAATAATGTTAAAATACGTAAATTAATAATATATTTATATGTATGATAAAAAGTCCTATAGTGAGTAGTTTTCTCGGCGTTGACGTTGAGTTGGCTGTAGTTCTTCGAAAGCCCCATTCATTCCCTTGAAATAATATCGTCATTTCTGACGTCATCGTTTCAACGATCGGCCCGAAATCCAAGAGAGCGAATGATGCAATCGCGATTTACTCGCCGCGTCAGGGGTTCTTCCTCGTCACGAGGATTACCCAGCAGGGGTGAAGTATTCGCGCGCCTGCGTCGTTTGGTCGACCGACGACGGGGTCGCGCGCCAGCTGCGCAAACCCTTGGTCTCGGAGAGGGTGTAGGCACATGAGGATCGAATCGAGCCCTCAGAAAAGACGAGCCCGCGCTTCCTGTCTCACCTACGTTCGTCGAAGGTAAGTCCGTAACCACGTTTTCCGCAACCATCTCGCGACTCCCGATCGTCGAGGACGGTCGCACTCGAGTCCGTGGATTTCGCGTCGCGTTTCGGCCACGAACGAATAGACCAAGTTTCGACGAACCCTCACCCGGCAATTCGCCGCCGCGAATTGTGTCGATCCGGCCGGAGTTTAGCCAACGCGTCCGCATATCAAGCTTGATATTCTATCAAGAATCGAAGAGCGTATGATACCGATTGTATAATATCGAGCTGAATTCTTGAATGCTACAGACACGGAAAAATGTCTCTATGTTGCTCAAGTCGTGCGAATAAATCCGGAGATTATTTTTATTATTTTCCTTGAAACTATTCTTCGATTCTATTTCTTGAAGAATCGATCCTTCAACTTGTCGTAACTATACAGTTTGAATTTGAATTTTATGTTCGTTCAGCTGTTATTAAATTCTCATCGTTGTAAACGTGAGCAAATGTAGTTTATGTCATTCTAGCTACTCAAGTCGAAATTTTGATCCTACTTTCGATCTCAATATTCCAATTAACTTTCATTTTGATACTCTGAAGTTTCTATCGATTTTTTTAATTCTTTTTAATCCACAAGCGCGCGCTTTGCCGAGAGGTTCTCTTTAAAATCTACAAGTAATGCTTGATGCGTTTTCTACCATTTAAAGGCTTTTAATGCATATGGGAACTAAGTTCTACTCAGAACTACTTAGAACATGTATTAACATACGCTGTAAAAAATTTTGTGTTAAATTTGACACATTCCATATGTCCCAATTTCATCATTCTAATTTTTGTGTTTATTTAACCCAAGACAGATATGTACACAAATAATATGTCGAAAATTAATACAAAAATGTAACATTTGGACACTACAGTTTAAAAAAATGCAGTTAAAAAATATTTTTAGAATAACGCGTTCAAAATTTTATGATAAATTCTTTTCCACTCTTTTTATATCAAGATATTATTTAGTGTACTTAATAGATACACATAACAAGAAATTTATGTTCCTATTAATTTATAACTTTCTACACAACTCCCCAAATTTTACTTGGTTTGTACTTCTACCAGGGTCCTGTAATCCCTTAAATATATACTTATCCTTCAGAATATACAGAAGCTAGAAAGTTCAGGTCGAAAATAGGACTAAAATTTCACTCGGGTGTGCAAACGAATTTGAGAGCTGATTTTTGTCCGGCGGTAGCTTCGAAATTCGATCTCGTTGAGAGACGTCTCGAGTTCGATTCCGAAGTTCATCCAGAAATTATCGAACGGGAGCGCACTCGACGTTATTAACGTCAGCTTATATAATAGAATTCATTAGCGATCACAGACTGGAGGGTTAACCTTTGCTACGATTTATCATTCGAGTCGAGTTTTCCCGCGATTAGACGATTAGACGAAACAAACGCCGTGTTTGTGAGGAGGATACATTTTTCTGAAAAAATGAGGGTGCGATAAGATCCGATAGCGAAAGGGAAGACACGTGTTGTCCGTTTACGCGCGAGATATCGTACTCTTATACTAGGTGTTTCATTACTCTCTCTCTCTCTCGCGTGACACCATTGTGTCATTCACAACTACGCGTGACAACGTGACCGCGCAATATACGCGCGCGTGATGTAATTTTGTGTTGATAGCATAACACGTTCTTCGCGATTTAACTGTTTACGGCGATGTCTTGTCGTCAAGTGCAGACGTAATTGCAATTAAATAAAATTCCGCTTACAAGATACCATCGTACTTTCATTGAAAACAATAACGAGAGATTTTCGAATTCATTCCGAATCTTCGTTATCGCGTATTTATGTCGCGATGTAGTTTGAGTTTTCTCATATATCCGCGTGATCCTAGTAATCGCGTAATCGGATCGTTTACTTAAGATGAGATATTAGTTCGAGTGAGATAAAGGTCAATTAATCGATTAAATCAATCGAAATCAATTAAATCAATCTCTACAGCTTTGTAGAGATTAAGTCAAGAATTGTAGAGATAAGTCAAGTTACGATTATCTTTGAGGGAGGGGAATATTCCGATCGAATTCTTGTTTTCTTCATGTCAATTTTTGGCAAGACCCAAATCTATTTTTGTTATTTCTGTATAAGATCTTTGCACGTTCACACTTTGCGAACGTAATAGCGGCGATCTTTGAAATATTTCAGGGATTCTGTTTTTCTCACCGATCGAGACGTTGAAATTAAACGAGTCTCTTGATGTTGGCCTTTGTCGTGCGCGATGAGATTGCGTCACATTCTCATATTTATCCTTCCTGTGTAAATTTTTACTGATATTATATCACGATATAAACTCGTAATCGATCATTTTCCACGGATCGTCGTTATTTTTTGAATTCCTTATCGACGTGAAACAAGGCTCTTTCATCTTCGAGTGATACCGGTTTTCCAGGCCATATCGCATTTACAGAAGCAGATGTATTTACTTAGAGCAGTATATGTGTGCGTATGGATCTTCGAATTTCACTCACTAACCAGTCCGTTTCTGTTCTTTCAAGCTGCTATACAATGGGCGTGGAGAAAGAAAAGGTATTGTATGCGTCTCAGCGTGACACACTTGTCGGTGACGTAACCGGAAATTGTCGTGCCTGATTTTTCGTACCTCGAAAATGTTCAATATTTTTGCATATTATGAAAGCTTACGGCGAGCAGATTTCAATCATATAACTCTCTCATATGTCGAGAAGCGATTAGTGATCCAATAGTAGTTTCAAAAATATCAAAACCGACAGATGTCTCATCACCCAGCTACTTTGGTCAGCAGATGACAACACAGTCTGCTGCCTTCGCCAGTCAATTTTGAACTGTACACGTCTGTTCACAGATGATGACCCAGAACTTTAAATTTAGTGACTCGCACACGGTCGAGTTCAATCAAAGTTCAAGTCAAGGTGGCATTCGTCATCTGTTGATTTTGGAATTATTTTTGGGTCACTAATCAGTTTTTCGCATATGAGAGAGTTACATAGTTGGAATTAGTTCACCGTGAGCTTTCATAATATGCTTTCAAACATTTTCGAGGAACGAAAAATCAGGCCGTTCTGTTTGTGCAAATTTCAAAATGATCGAGTAAACTTCTAAATGATCGAGCGAAGCCTACAAATTACAGATGAAAAGCAAAGAAAACATTTTTTATATCATATATATTTTTCATACTTTTCTGTATTTGTAATTCTATGTGCAATATATTTTTATATTTATTTTATATTTTGCGTTCATTATAATACGTGTGTGTAAACAATACGCACACATGAAATACAAAATCTCAGTTTCTTATTTAATTGCGTCGCAAAGTTGGATCAATCCTTTTTTAAATTCTTGAAAAAGATGGATTGGAATAATTTTACATTTTTTTCTTTTCTTTTTTTAATGAGCTTTTCTGAAAATTTCCAAAGACCAGATTGCTTTATCGATTATCGTTGCTTTTCAAGTGCATTTTCGTTTCACCTCCGTTATATCCTGAGCACTCGCGTACGTCACGAGTATCGGTATAATTAAACTCTTTGCTCCAGTCAAGCGATGACATTCAGGAACAGGCGACAACGCCGACGGCGTTGGCCCCAACCCTGAAGGTAATCCTTCTTTCTCTTATGTTGTTTATTATATACCAAACGCGTAAAAAAGATGTTACCATTTATATAAAAGTAACTTTCTTTCTATAAAAGTGTTAACATTTTTTTAAGCGAATTCTCCATATAAGTAATTTAGTTACCATAAGTATCATAAATTACTATAAGTAACTTTTCCTCTATATAAGTATTAATATGTTTTTCAAACATCTTGTATGTAATATGTTTTTGAACATCTTGTATATAATCGACTATCTGTGTGACATATCAAAGCTGCACAAACTGAACTATAACAATATTAAACACGCACAAAAAAATAAACATTCTTATTTTGAAAGAATCTTTATTATTTTGTGAATCTTAAAATGAGATTACATAGAGTTAAGCAAAAGTAGTTAAACAAAACTAAACTACTTGCATAAATATATTTTGTATAATTTAACAAAGAAATATACATTTTTATTATACA